TGTGTGTGTGTGTGTGTGTGTGCATGCGTGTGTGTAGTTCTATGCAGTATTATCATGTGTACTGTATAGATTTGTGTAACAAAATGGCAATCAAGACACAGAACTGTCCTCTCCATAAGGCTTCCCCTTGCAGCTATGCCTACTCCCTCCAACTCATCCTCCAAATCCTCTGGCTACCACTACTCTGTTCTACATCAATATAATTTTATTTCAAGCAAGTTCTACAAATGGAATCTTACAGTAAGCAGTCTTTGGCGATTGGCTTTTTATACTCAGCATCATTCCCTTGAGAGCATGCGAGTTGTACAGTGTATCAATAGCTTGTTCTTTTCTATTGCTGAGTAGTAGTCCACAGAATGAATGTATCACAGTTTGGTGTGTTCAACCTGTGAAGGATGTCTTGCCTGTTTCAAGTTCAGAATGATTGACTGACTGACTGACTTAGCTAGTTAGATAGATAGTTAGATTTTTGAAATATTTATTGAGGTTTTCTACTTGCTGACAAACCCACTTTTCAGTTGTAAGACATACTGTCTAATTTGAATATTCTTGGATATAATAAATTTGTATCTATTTTCTTTATCTCTTATTCCTTATGGCTTTTAAAAGTTTTGTTATAAACCTATCTATTTTCTTCTTGGATTAAAGGCTTCTGATATTTAGTCTTTCCTGTAAGAAAATTGTTCTCTCCTTCTAGGAATCTAAGTAGCACTTTTTTGTATCATCATAACGTTTATGTCTCTGTTAAATTTTGAAAGGCAGACAAGCATGAAGCAGGGAATATATGTTGCTAGAAGTCCAGAAATACAGGTCATATTTATCTCTGTAACCTCCTAGTTAAGTTCAACATTTAGGGGGCATTGGTGGATTTAGCACTAACCAAGAAAAATAATTTCCCCTAAGTTCTATATCACTTTCCTTTATCATTTATCTCATCATTTATCTAATCAAGATTGTCTTAGGGCATGTATGGCAGGGCATTTTATGTTGAATTCTATCCTTTGGATGAGCACAAAGGGATATTTACTATATCCTACATCCTATATTTACTATGTCTTACATCCTAAATTTACTATATCCTATATCCAGAGTATCTTAAAATTGTGATTTTACATGACTAAATCTGAGAACAATGATACATTCTAGACAATAAAAAGAAAAATAGGTAGGAGAAAGAAAGAAGAACAATGTAGTCAAGTAAAACAGAATTTTAAAAATAGTCCTACATTTGTGGATTTGTAGAATTGAAAGTCACATTAGAGACCCTCCAAACCAATAATTTTCGGTGAAATGTGCTGTAGAAAAAGTGCAGAAATAGATCTAAAAATCTATAGGAATTTAGCACAGGATAAAGGTTGCAGTTTAAAATCACTATGAAAAAGAAGGATTATTATAAAAAATGGTATAGGACAGCAAGTTAACTTGTGGATAAAGAAAGAAGGAAAGGAAAGAAAGGAGAGAAATACTACTTCATTCATTAAATGTGATGATGATACTACGGTGTACACATATTTCCAGACTCATCGAAATATATACATTAGACGTGTGCATTTTTTTGTGTGTATTAAGCATACCTCAGTAAAGCTGAGGAGAAAAAGAAACATCAAAATTTCACAATTTAGTTTTCCTCCTCAGAACACTGTTTCCCATCAGTAAGTCTAGCAAACGGGTCATGACTCAGAGTAGGGAGGGGAAATTGTCCGAAGAGCCTGCTTGTTCTCATGCCTGTGATGCCCTGTCCACTTTTGAAACTTCTCTGCCCACATGACCCACAACGAATGAGCCATCAAACTAAAATGACGCCTTATCCTCCCAAGTCACCAAAAAGAATGTGGGCCTGTTAGAATCATTATCACCCAAGTGGAGACATTCTGTGCTGTGCCACATGAGACTAACACACACACCTTCTAAGGGCAGAAGTCACGTGACTGCTTTCTCTGAGGGAGCTAAAGCAAGAGACACACAGCTGCTGCCAGACCACCTGCTGCCGCCCCAGCTGCTGCCAGACCACCTGCTGCCGCCCCAGCTGCTGCCAGACCACCTGCTGCCGCCCCAGCTGCTGCCAGACCACCTGCTGCCGCCCCAGCTGCTGCCAGACCACCTGCTGCCGCCCCAGCTGCTGCCAGACCACCTGCTGCCGCCCCAGCTGCTGCCAGACCACCTGCTGCCGCCCCAGCTGCTGCCAGACCACCTGCTGCCGCCCCAGCTGCTGCCAGACCACCTGCTGCCGCCCCAGCTGCTGCCAGACCACCTGCTGCCGCCCCAGCTGCTGCCAGACCACCTGCTGCCGCCCCAGCTGCTGCCAGACCACCTGCTGCCGCCCCAGCTGCTGCCAGACCACCTGCTGCCGCCCCAGCTGCTGCCAGACCACCTGCTGCCGCCCCAGCTGCTGCCGCCCTAGCTGCTGTGTATCCAGCTGCTGCCGCCCCAGCTGCTGTCAGACCACCTGCTGCAGGACCACCTGCTGCCGCCCCAGCTGCTGTGGGTCCAGCTGCTGTCGCCCCAGCTGCTGCGTGTCCAGCTGCTGCCAACCTTGCTGCCGTCCATCCTGCTGCCAGACCACCTGCTGCAGGACCACCTGCTGCCGCCCCAGCTGCTGTGGGACCAGCTGCTGCTCTCGCCCTTGCTGTGTGTCCAGCTGCTGCCAGCCTTGCTGCCGCCCAATCTGCTGTCAGAACACCTGCTGGAGGACCACCTGTTGCCAGCCCAGCTGCTGCTCTCGCCCTTGCTGTGGATCCAGCTGCTGCTAGCCATGCTGCTGCTGATCACCTCACCAAAGATCCACCATCTGCTCACAACACCATTGCTCACAACACCTTCTGTTAACTGACTTGCCATTTTGGAAACATTCACTCCTTAGATTTTGCTAACAACCAGCATGCTCTACCATAATTTCTGTTACTCATCTGCCTAACAAAAGCTTCTGAATCAGCTTGATTCAGAGTGTAGAGGACTTCTCTCAATTCTATTTCCCCTGTGCAGCTTCATGTGCCAGCTTCATGCTTCCTCGATATGGAGTTATGGTCTCTGCTTTGACACCATAGCAAGATCTTCCCCCTTTTCCTCTATGTAACTTGGAAAAACAAATCCTTATAACTATTACATTGGTTTTCTGCAACTGTTAAAAATCTCCACAATATGTTTTCTTTTTCAGTATACTCATGGTTCTTGTATCCTTTTTTCTTCTTTCCAAGATCACTATGAGTTGGCTCCCTATATGCAGGGAGTCTTACCTATAATTTTTAATAAATCTTGTACCATCATGCATCCATATTGTGTTTTTTTTTTATTGTACAGCATTCCTGATATAAGGATTTATAAACCTGATGCATATCCTTTGCATTATCCATTCTGAGTCTCATACAGTCTTCCACAAATAATTATCTCCATTCTTCATAGGAGAATATTCCACAGGGTAATGTTAAAGAGCCCATCTGCACAGATACAGAACCAAGACCGTCTTCCGCTCCTGTTCAATGGCACCATTCCTGTCTCAAGACAGTTAGAAAAAAACCCGGGGGCCGAGCACCGGCAAGATGTTCAGTTGATGTTTTTCCTTAACAATCGAAGTGGTATCTCTTGTATATATAAAGAGATAACGTCTATTTACAATGTTTCTTCCAAGCCAGTGTCCCACACCTCCGTGACTGCAGCTCTCCTTGGGGAGCAGGGGCTGCATTTTAGAGCTCTTGTGCATGCATGTAGGGTTCTTTCCTGTATCGGGCTCTGTCCAGCCACTCAAGTCTTCATCTGCATCCAGTATTTGCAAGCATCCAGTGTGTTCCCACGAGGAAGAGCCTCATCTAAAGAGACTTGTTCTTTGCTCTCGTGTAAATCAGATTCTTATATGGCCTGTTTCCCCTCAGTACCCATGGACAAGAGTAAAAAGAAATTATTAAGTAATTTCCTGCAAAACATTTTATGTTCCCCAACTTAAGGGTGATTTGTTACTCTGATCAAAATATTATTAAAAGAATTTAGTAAGAACAAAGTTAGAGACTGAGACACTATGCAAAGGGCATGTATGACTTTGAATCATCCATAATATCTGAACCGTCCCAGGAAATGGAACAATCTTCTGTGTTTTGTGAGTCAACTTTGAAACACTGGAGAGAAATAAGAATTTGTGTTCCAGGGGGAATCAGAAGAATGTGAGAAAGACAAAGAAGGAAGGGAGGGAGGGAAGGAGGAAGAAAGGAAGGAAGAAGAGCAAGAAAGAAAAAGAAAGAACACAATAAATGTGCTGTCAGTGATCTGAGGTCACTGATTGCCAGTTAACATGGTTAGGATTAGAGTCACCAAGTCATCCTGGTTTGTCCAAACTGCCCCAGTTACATTACCTGAGAGTCCCACATCCTGGGAAAACCCTTAGTCCTGGGTAATCAGGACTGTTGGTCACCCAGGAAGTAAAGTGACCGATGATCTCTCAGTCCCAGTGTACCGCTTCTGCTTCTACCCACCTGCTTTGGTTCTGCTGCGCTTAGGGAAGTGATTATGCCAGATGTTCCCTGGCACAGTGTTTGTGGTAGATCTGGGACACACAGGTGGGGTAGGTGGCTCCAGAAAGATACCTGTGCTGGTCTAGAATCAGGCTTTTGGGGTGCAACAGACTTGGACTCAGGCATGAGTTCAGTCTGTCATTGTGAACATGGCAGCATCATGCCTCTTCCCACAGAAGTGTGTCCCAATCCAAGTCAGCTGAAGAAACAAAACTGGGGATGGACACATACAGGTACTGACCCTCACGAGGCCACCTGGAATCATTTCATGTGACCAAATTATGATCAAAGCAGAAATGATGCTGATGATGTAACCACCTTCCTTCTATCTGAAAAGGTTTGTAGGAATTATTCTCAACTGAGAAACACATTAAACACTTATTTCCTAAAGATTCATATCATTTAGGGAATACCTTCCTCCTTGACAATTTCCTGGTGACTACAAAAACAAAGTAAATAACAAGGAAAGTCCTGCTTATTCATCCCAACACTGGGGGTCCAGGGTATAAAAACCTAAGAACAGAAGGGGTCAGCAGAATCTGAGAAACTCACCTCTGAACAGACACATTCCACCCCTGATACCATGTGCTGCTCCCCTTGCTGCCAGCCCACCTGCTGCAGGACCACCTGCTGCCAGCCTGCTTGCTCTGGGTCCTGCTGTTGCCAGCCCTGCTGCTGCCCAGCCTGCTTTCAGACCACCTGCTGCAGGACCAGGTCCTGCTGCCACCCTTGCTGTGTGTTCTGCTGCTGCTAGCCTTCCTGCTGCTGATCCTTTCACCATGGAATCTTATGACACAGACTAACCTTCTGACAATCAACCTGTCACCTCTCTAGTTAATGCCACAAGCTACATCACCAGGCTTTACTAATATCCAGCATGCAGTTACCATCTTTCTATTAATCATATTCTTGTTTAAAAGGTTCTGTGAGTAAATGGTAAGAAGCAGTCAACTTTAGTCTGATTTTGTTCATCTTTATTTGCTGCTGATCACTGTGATAGCTACAAGTATTAGGTCTCCTTGACCTATAGTCATCGTGTCAGCCTTGCAAAAATGCTTACCACTTTCCCTCAAAGTGACCAAAGCACAAATCATTTGATAGGCTTCTTAGGGTTTGGGTTTTTTTTTTTTCATATTTAGTAGTTTTTTATAATCCTTTTTTCCTAATGTGCTCATTATTCTTCTGACTTAATTCATCCTTTTTATGATTACTTTGTATTATCTTCCCAGCTATGGGAAGCTTCTCTGGTTCCTTCCCAATAGATCATCCTCTATGTTTAGTCTTTGCTATCTTCCAATCTATGTTATGATTTTACCCTTTGTACAGCATTTACTTTTAAGGCCTTACATTCATATTTCATTTCACGAGTATTATTTATTCTGAGTCTGACAGTGACCCCCTAAACTAGCAAAACCAAGATGATGATCACCTCCCTCTTACAGATGAATAAAGTTCACTTGGCTAGTTATGGACAGAATTTGGTCAAGGTCTAGGGCCTCTGATTCTATCTCCAAGATCTTACATTTAGATCTTACTACAAGCATAAAGAAAACAACAGTCTGAATACTGGGACGATGTACACTTTCACTGTCTGTGTACCTTTGAAAACAAACTTTTCCATATACAAATAATTTTTCTTTTACAGGTGTATTCTTCCACCTCGTCCCCAAAACTCAGGTCAGCCCTCAGGTCAATGGTGTGACCACATGCACGGTAAGCCCGGTAGGCTGGTTTAAAGAGCCATCCTCTATGTTTAAGTGTCCATTGTATTTGTGGTGCTGTGCTGGCACATTTAAGCCAGAGGCTTATCTAAAGATACCTGTTCTTTGATGTCAGGGCATGGCATTCTGGGTGGTCTCTTTCATCGGGCCATAAATAGTGTGGAACATAAAAAAGGTATCAAGTAAAACAGATACCCCTGGCCATATTTCATGTAACCCTAAATTTTCAGTCCATTTTTTCTCTTAACTAGAACATCATCAAGAAAATTAAATATGGACACAGTCCTGGGAATTGAGCTACTCACATCATGAAAATTTTAACCTTTGAGCCATTCCACAGTCTCTACAAAACACCACCCTGAGTTTTATGAGATGAAGCTGAAGCACAAATCAGACCCAGGTGTATCTGGTATTCTCTGAAGAGACTGCCTAGTTCATAACAGGGAAGAAGATCAGTTAAGGCAATAATGTTTGTTAATCATATTTAGATATTGGTCTAAATCAGTGTTTCTCAGCCTTGGCACCATTGACATTTGGGCCAGATCCTCTTTGTTGGCTGGGTGGAGGCGCCCTGTTGTGACCATCAAGGAATGTTTAGCAGCATCCTGGCTTCTGCCCACTAGATGCCAGTAGCACCTCTTCCTAGTTGTGTCATACGGAGCCAAGCTGGGTGGGGAAAATGAATTAATGTTAAAAACACAAGAGTGAAACCTATAGAAGAATTGGATAAATGTGTAGAATTGGATAATAAATTATGACATCAAACCTCAGCGGATGCAACAAAAGCAATGTTTGAGGATGATTTGTGTTTATATCTTTATTCTAGGAGAGAAGAAAAACTCAAAATTAATGAGTTAAATGCCTCAGCTTAAGAAGTTAAGGGGAAAAAAATTGACCAAAAAAAAAAAAAAAAAGAGTTAAGGGAAAAGCAATAGCATTGCCCCCAAACTACACTGAAGAAAAAAAATACTTTTCTTTTTTTTAATGCCTACAGCACCTGGAAAACCAGGTGTTTGGACGATGGTCTCCCATCCAAGTACTAAACAGGCCTGACCCTGCTTTAGCTTCTGAGATCAGACAGGATTGGGCTTGTTCAGGGCAGCATGGCCAAAGACAACAAATAGGTTTTTAAAAAGAGTAGAAATTAACAAAACAGAAAATAAAGAAAAAATAGTGAATTCAACAAAGCCAGAATTTTGTTATTTTTAAAAAGTGAACAAAATAGGTAAACTCTAGTAAGATCGATCAGCTAAAATGATACAAGACAATTCAGTAATATTATAAAAGAAAAGTTAGGCATAAAATATGGATAAAACAGATTTTTAAATTATTTTAATTATCTATTGCTGTGTTACCAACTATTTATTACTAAAAAATAACTATTTCCTGTTTCTTGTGAGTTCATGGGTTGGCTGAGCTCAGTTCTTTTGTCCCATACAGTATTGACTGGGAGAAGATATTTACAATACACAGAGGCAAAGAATTGGTCTCAAGAATCTTATAAATAACTCCCACAAACCAGTAACCATGAGCAACTCAACAGAATATTAGGTAAAAGATATTGATAGGGATTTTACTTTAGAGGAAACACATATTGCCAATAAACGTGAAAAAGCACTCCTAATCGTAAGTAATGGAGAATTTACAGATCGAAACCTCAACAAGATGCCAACTTACACCACTATATTGAAAAAACAATTTAAAAGTCTTACAATAACAAGAAATAGAGAAGATGTGATTTCACAGAATCTCTTGCATGTTGGAGGTGGGGTGTAAGGTGTTATAAATTTGCACAGCCACTTTAGGAAGCAAATTGGCATTTTCTCCTAAATGATAGATCTATCAATCAAGCGTGCCAGTAAACTCCCTCCCCAGCCTAGCTGACAACCAAACACTTAATTAGCTTGTCAAATCGTGAGGCTTCTTAGCAAAGTGGAGCTTACCTCATTGCTTTTTTTCTTCCTTATTTCCTGTGGATCAGTGTACCAGCTGCTGATCTGCTTCATCTATCTTTGACATAAAAATCATGATCTCAGCCTTGGAAAAGTGGTCATCCCCTTTTCCCTCGAAGAATATTAAAAAACAAATCCTTCAGACTGTTCTCTTACGTCTTTGAAATGGATCAATATCTCTGCAAATGATCAGTATTAACCATGTTATATCTATGAACTCATTGGTCCTGTGTCCTGCTCCTATTTTATGATCAGTTAGAATCATCTTCCTACTTCTTCGCTACTGTGACCACACACTGAGATGTTGTTTTGACGGCTGTTCCTTTAAAAGTTCTTGCATGTGTCTTGCATTTCGTATCATATCTTCTAATCTCACAGTAACTCTACAAGTTGGGCAAAGCGAGAATAATCATTTCCACTTTACAAGTCACTTGCCTCATGTCATACAAAGAGTAATTGATAGAATTGGATTCAATACCCAGATTGGGTTCAATACCCTTATTCAGGACATTTTTATTTAGAATTTTCTACAAGTAGAAATAACTCTGGTGACTGGGTGTGGGAAGACGTATAATTTGAGTTATCTACCAATGGAAATGATCAAGCCTGTACATGCAGGTCACTTTTCTACTTAAAATGGCAGTTCCCTATATCATTTCCCATATACCTTCAAATAGTAGCAACTGGTTTTAAGGACTCAGGTATGAAGAGAGAACCTCATTGTCTTAGGGCTCTGGTCTGCAACTAAGCAATTCATTTTCATCAAGTGTTTCCTAGCACTGTTCTAGGACGTAGAGAAAGAGGCTCACCCCAAAATACTTTTTCCTTCGTGTCATGGAAATGGCAGTCTTGCCTGGTCTCATTCACCTGGTGTCACAGACTGTATTCTCCAAAAAATGGCCATGGTAGTAACTCTAGTTCTGCTTATTCTCCAGAGACTTACCAAGCAAATTTCTCTCCCTCGGACTCTCAGGGGGTCTTGTGATGGCTCTGACGGAAAGGACAATAAAGAAGATGATATGTGACTTTCTGGTCAGGTCATTAGAAGAGTGTAACTTCTTCCTGGCTCTCTGGCTCTTTAAGGATGCTCACTCTGGGGAAAAGCCAGCCACCATCCTGTGATGTGAGGGAGACCAAACTAGTCCATATAGAGAGACCACATGGAGAAAAACAGCTCCCTCCTCCCCGCCGCTGACAGCCTGCATGAACTGCCAAACAGATGCGTGAACTTCAGATGATTTTAGCCCCATCTTTGAGTCTTCTAGCTGATACACCAGACATCCTGGACCATCGCCTCTGAATTCCTGATCCACAGAATCTATGAATACAATAAGCAGTTGTTTTACACTATTAAGTTTGGGGTAATTAGTTATGCAACTTTAGTTTAGCAGTTAGAATAATTGAACAACGACAACAAAACACTAAAAAACACTCTGCAAAGCACACAAGGCACTTTTTTGGTGCCACCAAACTCTGAATCAGTTCCTAATCAGAGCATTGTAAGGAAATTATTTACTTACAGAATCCTAAGAAGTGAAGTAACTCAGCAATGGGCATATAAGCCTCTGATCCAAACAGATTCTGGATTTTGTGAGGCCAGGACGAAGCTGAAGAGACTCTATATCAGAGGGTCAGCAGAAAACAGAAGGATTGGATAAAGAAAAGAAACCAAGTGCTCGTAGAAGGCGTGGCGGATATGACAGATATAAGTGTAGCTATCCAAAGTGGGAGCCAAATTTTCTGAAGAAGAACTGAACAATAAATAGGATATCCAGATATTTGCTGGGACAACAACAAAAAATCCGATACTGACTCTGGGAGGGAAAGAATATTTTGCGGGCTAGATCCCTCTCCTTGTGTTTAGGTCTTAGAAGACCTTATGGAGCAGGAGGCTTCTCTGAAGAGGCTGCCAGGTTATCTGATTTGCTGAGTGCTGGTTCCCCTGCATGACGGGGGAGGAATGAGCTGAGGGACTCACATTTGCTAAGTGACTATGAGTATTAGGCTTGCTACTTTCTCATCATTTCTAATTCATAATCCTGCAAGGTTTTATTATCACAATTTAACAGGTGAGGAAACAAAGGCTTAGGGAGAAGAGGTCACTTGCTCAAAGTTGCACCACTATCCAATAGTTTACCTGACTTTAAACACTAGGCTGTTTGTTCCATGCTCACTGTGTGCCTGATGCTCCTTGCTCCCATCAAGCTGTGGAGAGAATATGGGTCTATGAGGCCTTGAACACGAAAGCAAATTACTAGGTGCTTTCTCGTATTTTCATCTCTCTTTCCTGTCAATAGTTGGGACTTTGAAGGAGAGAATGGTCCCTTATTTTGACAAAATTTATTTAGTACTTACTGAGTGTTAAGCATTGTGCCAGGTGCTGGGAATACAGAAGTAAATAAGACAATCAAGGTCCCCATCCTTATTGTGCTTTGAGTGGAATGCAAATGGGAGATGGAATTTATACACCAGAAGTAAGGATGATGAGCCTGTATCACTAATGACATAGGAAGAATGGTTCAAGAGGGGGCTGTTTCTATGCAGGATTGTATCTGGCCAACCCGATCAGGGAGGCAAAGAAAGAAGGAAAAATCCCATGAATCAACTTACTATGAAGAATAGCAAGGGTGATACTGAAAGAAGAATTGGGGTAAAGAAGTTCCCCTCAACAAGGTACATGCAAAAAAACAATGAAAATCAATTGGATTATATTAAGTCATTTTCCCCAAAGGCTTCACTTAGTAGGTAGCAGAACATGAATGATGTGTAAATATTCTTCTATCCGATTTCAATTCCCATTGCCCAGCCTTTTCTGTCTTCTTCTGCAGTGGAGAACATATGGATGAACATAGAAGGAGCCATGAGCTCTCATCACGTAGGCATGCTGTAGCCTTCCTGGCCAGACACAGAATATTGATGATGAGTTGAACATGCAGATCACAAAATGGATATATATGCAAGGAAAAGAGATGAAGAGACATCCAAACCTCCGGGTATTGCCTAAGGGATCTCAGTGTAACTAAAACAGAGCAGGAAGTTCTTAAGCATCCAGGTAAGCCACTCTGAACTTGATCTTAACAATGAGGAGGACTTGGTAAGGAAAGTTAATGATGATAAACTCGCTACAGAAAGACTATCTTAAAATTTGTGATAACCGGTCAGGAAAATGCTTGCTTGACTGGAACTATGTCCTACAGAGCAGCAAGATAATTGCCATGTTTAGAAGAAAAGGGGTGTGACTCCCTGACCAAGGGCCCTGAAATAGAGGGCAGAGTTCATAAAGGTAGAGAAGAGCCCAGAAACGCCATTCTGATGGTACAGTCACAGATGCTTCTGATGGAGAG